TCTCTCTCTCTCTCTCTCTCTCTCTCTCTCTCTCTCTCTCTCTCTCTCTCTCTCTCTCTGGCAATCTCTATATATATATATCTAGGAGTCGCGTCTATCTTCCGCTCGGTGCATTTTCACTCGTTTCTCTGTTTTCTCGTTCCATTACGGTAACTCCACGTGTTTACATCTCAGTTTTGCTAGATGCGCGTTTGTAAGTGTGCAACATTCTCGCTTGTATTTTCCTATCCTTTATTTTTTTTTTCATACAGTTTAGTTGGCTTTTCTGAAGAAAATTGCAAGAAGAATGCTAGTTATGTCTAGTAATTTACATTCAATTTTTTCTTAAAAACGTCTAGCAATTTGATTTATTAAGATAAAGAATTTGAGTTAATCGTTGCTAAATAATCCATTGTGAAATAATATTCTTATCGGTATTCTAGTGAACATTTTCTTCAACTATGATATGAAAAACTGTTTATAATAAATGTTTTTCATATAATTTTAAGTTATATAATCTTATTCCTCGGATTTTGACTTTGAAAATAAAAAAACAAATCGTTCAATTACGTTAATTTTAAGCAAATATATATAGTAATTTAAAATACTAGATTCGTTAATACTGTAATAAAGAAATTTCGACACAGAATTAACAGAAGAAATATATTACAGTTAACAAATCTTTTTATTAATACGCTGTTTCTCAAAAGGGTAGTTATTCATTGCTATTGTATTATATTGTTACGAGATTGTAAAAAACGAGGTTGCAAGTTTTACAAGAAAAAACGTGAATTATTTAAAAAATCGTAGCGGATGACGTGTATTGTACGATCTTATTAAAACTTTTCAAGTAGCAGAAAATGTCAGGACCTTATGAATATTCCATCGAGCGCAAATCGAAGAGTAATTTACAAAGGTGATTACTGTTCGTCTGTTGTATAATGATTAATCGACATCATTTCCGATTGATTGTAATGTATCAAATAGAGATATGCGAAAAAGGATTTATTTGCCAGTTCTCCCAATCCTACACGCATGTCCTTGTCAAACTTCTCTTGTAAACAAGTTCTCATGGTTTTAAAAACTACCCTAGGGGGACATCCACGAGAATCTTTATCGAAATAAAAAGTAGGAGTTTCAGGGCCGAAAAAAAAGTGGTATGACTTATTAATATAATGGAATTATTTCATTTGTTTAGCGTCAAACATATAAGCATTAAATATAAACGTTCCATTATTTCCTGACATTATTATTTCCTGGCACGCCAGAAGCAATACAGTTAACGCTTTGACGTAGCATAAAAGTCGTTTGGAAACGAATGCGCAGTTTGAATGCCCATGGGAAGTCCCGCGATCGAGTTTTCAACGCGAATCGTATTTTGTAAGAGATAATTGTGTCGCCGACGGCGATGGAATGCCAGTGACATCCAATTGCAAAATTTTTAGTGAATTTAGGTCATTCGGTGTCCTAGGTTCGGTGCATTAATGACAGGCTGTGCAGTGCAAGTGAAATATCGCACTCGGAGTACTCTAAAACTTCCATGTGACAGTACTAATAATTCATTCCTTATTCAACGCACATACTATAAATTCGATATACGAATAGTAATTTTCTTTTTTATCAAAATAAAGGTTTCTCGGAAAGTAAATGGATGTTTCTCATCGTTAAATGTATGTGTAATGGAGAATTCACATTATGTGCGATGGCAGATATTTGACATAACGATATTCAATGCAGGAACATGCTTTCTGCAGATTCTAACGAGATTTTTTTCTCTGAAAAATAAATCTTTTTATTGAATATCGAACATCGGATATATCGTGAGCTATCTATAATAATCGCTATTAACAGTCACCTCAATGAATGGTCCTTTAAAATATCAATGTCTCATGTGTTTCCAACAAGCAACAAATATCGCAAACTGTTCTGAAACAATCGAACGATGCTTGACATTGTTAGACGTTACGCCATTGCTCGCCACATCATTTACCTATGTCTCGCCCATCGATGAAACATACACTCTCTATTGAAACTTTTCGCGTCTCCGGACTGTAGGGTGTCGAGAACATGTTGACGTAATATGTTAACAAATGGAAACAATTGTAACCGCGTAAGTTACATGATCGAAGCCAAGTGAATATTGTGTTTGAAAATGGCCGTCTCTATTGTATCTCTATTATAAATTTAGCTATTTTGTAGTGAAATATAAAATGTTAATTCTTTAATTAGCCTATTTTAATTAGTCTATTTAATTGAAACAAGCGTTTCATTTTTAAAACTTAAATTTTGTTATAAACATTATTATCATCATTTTAGGGATAAATGAAGAAAAGTGAAGAAAAATTAAATAATAATAAATTTTTTTCTCTACAGCATATAATACAACACAAATAAATATAAAATACAATGAAAAAATAGAAAATCAATTTTTTTTCAATTTAAAATTGTATGTTAATGTTTAAAATAGTAATTATTCTAAAAATATATAATCTTTAGTATAAGATTATGTAATAATTATAATAATAATTTCTCAAAATCATAAAAAATTTAATGATACTATTCATTATCATATATATATAAATCATCATATATATATAAATTATGCTTCAACATCAATTATAAGTTCGTCCAATCATAAATTTCTTAAGAGTACAGCGCGTTTAAATTGAAGCAGATAGTGAATGTATGAATAATAAATGTGACAGTAAAAAAGAAAGTCATTAAAGCGTCTCAGAAGAGTGATAAAAGCAGCCATTAAAGCTGACCATCAAATTATAGGAAACTTTTACGGCGTTTTACCAGTCAGACGAATAAATTTATGCAATTTTATGTTATTTACGCAACGTAAACAGAAACGGTGCGGCGATCATATTAATTATAAAATATTGCAAATGACAGAATTGCAAATACTGTAACTTATATGTCGTAGTATATACTTTTCTGAAGAAACTGATCGACTCTCCAATCAATTTTGTCGCAGTTTTGATTATCAAAGAGTATGGTATAAAGAAAGAATATCTCTTGGTGAAATCGGATACACATCAAAAGGGAGAAAAATCTATGAGACCTAGTATCAAGCAAGATGATAACTTGATGGCATCCCTTCAATAAGATAATTTGCTTCTTTCAACAATACTTGGAAAAATTCTATATAAGATACGATTTCAAGAGTGTGCTTTAATTATTTCAATCAAAGTATGAACTAGAATTAATAATTTTTTGAAATCACAAAAAAATATTTACCAAAATCATTTTTTAATAAAAAAAGTTTTTCTCTATATTTTATATGTATTCATATATAGGAAAACACTAAAAAAAGAAAAAAAAATAGGAGTAATTTCTCTCACACAAAAATAAATAAAGAAATGCACAATAAATTTTTTTTTGCGTATCGTAAATTTTAAGAAAAATATTTTGGGAACTTAAAATGTTAATGATATTAATCATTATATAAAATTATATTAATATTTAATAGAGACATTTATGAATTATCTTAAAAGTCTGATACATATCTCATTGTAACTTAATGACAGTTAGTTTCGAGAAATATCGCAAATTCGATATATTGACAGTGAGACTCTTTTAGTGTAATATATATTTTATTTGGATTGACTCCATATTATTTTTGAGTGAAATTTCATTTAAAAAGAATGAAATTTGTCATTCTTTTTCGAGAAATGAAATATTTTCACTCTTCTCCAAAAATGGTTGTATTTTCACTTTCTTGGAGTGAGATTTCACTCCAAGAAATTTAGAGAGTACATGTATTCTTTTCTTAAATAAAAAATTAATCCCGAGCAAGAATGTAGAAATTTTTTATTAATTATTATGTCGAGATATCCGTATAGAATCTTTGATGCACTACTCGTATTGTACTATTCTACCTACATCATACGTGTCGAGAATACATATCGAGGATGCATTACCGCTTGTAATTGGATATCTCGGTGAAAAGCACGTCAAGGTTTCTCGTGAGATGCTTTCGATCGCTTTGGACTGAAAAGTTTGCGAGTCATTCGTCGAATTTCTGACTGCACTTTCGTCGTTGTCATCGTATGACACTTTTTGACGTTCGTAGAGAAAGCCTCTGTATCGCGATGATACTGTCTACGTGTTATGTGTATAAGGTATAATGTTAGTTCTTAATCTTATCGATAGTTTTTAATCTTAACAAAAGAATCTTTTTACTAACGATCTTCTTTATACGATATTCTATAAATAAAAATAAATCCTGTATTTTTATGATACATTAATACAAAACAAATTTTGTAAAAATTCAAATGTTCACGTCAGGACTAATTTATTTACAGCTTGCTAAAGCAAATTAAATATGCGAACTGATTAATTTTAATTTATTTTGGGTATGTAACCCAATGTTTGAGACAGCGTGATTCCACTTAGTACCTAATTCTGCATAAAAGCTTGCAGCTGCGTTCGCCAGTAAATCTTAATTCATTGACAAGATCGATATTTCTGAGCGAATTTGCAATTAAAGAAAAAGCGTTTCTGATGCACCCCCCGTATATTTCTACGCGAGATTGTATTTGTCGTTGTAAGTCGATACTGTGAGGGCCGAAGAAGACGAAGTTTGCGTCTCTTATTGATGGTTAGATGAGTAAGATGTCTGCTACTATTTAGGTCAGATTTGTGCGTGTTTCTTAACGAAACAAAATATTATAACTCTAAACAAGAACCTTAATTGCTATCTTATATGAGACATGAAACTCTCATAATGAAAATGCGAACATTACGAGCTAACAGGATATCGATAAATGAACTAAATTAGCTTTTTGTCACACGTGTTCTCAACAATATCATAACTTCATGTCTGTGTGTGCATGTAATATTGTCTTTTATTACATTTTATATTAAAAAACTGTAAAATATAATGAAACGTTTAAGATCTCTAACTTTTCCAAGACGTTGGCCTCTTGAATCATAAAATCCAAGACGTTTGCCACTTATTGCTCGACGTGGGTGATAACGAGGAAATGTTCACGACATTATCAATCCCCCTTGACGCGACATCTCGTGGGCGATATACAGTTGGCGAGCGGATAACACCGGAGCAGAATGATCACTTCCGGGAAGGGACAGTGCGTGGGAGGTAGCGCACGGATGCAGTTGAAGGGTGCAAACAGGATGCGAGCATATATATCGAACGATATGGAACGTAGACGATGAGATATCGGGCGAGATGTCTTCAGCGGGCGCAAGAATACACGCACGTTGTCAAAATATTCTCCTCTCCGCCATCGTTTTATTGATCGCCAATGTAGACACGCATCTCGAAACACCGACGCAATTGTATATACAAGGATATATGGGGATATACACGATGTACACACACACACACACACACGCGCGCGCGCGCGCGCACACACATACACGCACGCATGCACGCACGCATACATACACACACACACACACACACACACACACACACACACACCACGCAGGGCAGCTGTACCTCGTCGAAACACTCGTTCCATTCAACGTGATTATTTCGTTATTCCAGGGTGGATTTTTATATTTACGAATGTTCATTGACGTGAGATTTTTGCCACTACCTTCTATACTCACGTGATTTTTCCGCTCGCTGCGTTTTTCTTGGTAACAAACGTGGCACAGATATCCGGATGCGTGATGACTCGTGCAGAGTATCAGACCGCGACAGCCATGTTGGCAAGGGTGTAGCGCCCCTAACCAGCCTGCCTAGAAGTACAAGTTCTCTCTTCTCACCCCTTTCGTACCATCGTCTCCACCACCCACTCTCTTCCTGTTACACTGAATGAAATTTTTGATGCGCGAATTATTAATCAATCGAGAAACTTAGCTCAATAAACGTATCGTAAAATAAGATAATATAGGATCAATCTCAGAAACGTCATCTCGAATGTTTCTTCGATCGCAGTTTTTACAGCCAATACAAGGATAATAATTTTTTTTAACGGAATCTTGAAGTCGAATTTATCACAATTTTTTTATTTTTAATATCATTAATTTTTATAACTAAATTTTTAATTTAGATTTTATTATAATAAATTCTAATTCCAATTAATTAAAGATTATTATTTTTTATTATTATTTATTATTTACTTTTTCTTTCTTAAAAGATAGCAGATATATTTTATTAATAATTAAGGTTAATCAGATATATTTTATTTATTTTATGCGCTTCTATTTTGCTGGAAAAAAATCGATTGTACTAAAATATCTTAGTGAAAACAATATCTGGTGATTTTAAAACCCTCTGTATGCATTTTTTAAATATTTTCTTATGTAATTTTACTAACTTTTATGATGTAATGATATGAATAATAATAATAATAATAAATTTGCAATTATCTTAAATAAATAAAGTTTGTACAATATGGAAGAAACTTTTATATAGTTCTTTTTTTATATTTTTATATGACTCTTACTTTTTCTTTTTCACGATTACTGTAAAAAGAAGTTATTTTAAAAAGAGTCGCTTTCGCGATTGGAAGACGCTTCTTACAAAATTCTCCTTCTTGACAAATGCGATCGAGAATCTTATAGAGGGAAGGTAAATCCCTAAATCTCCCTTTAGATGTGTAGTTACGCATTACTGTAGAGAGGTGCTTGCCGCGGGAGACGTCAGAATTCGATCTTCTTTTGCCTTTCCACAGAAACGATGAGATATCGGTTATGGAAGATAAGGAAACCGTTTCGATTTATATTGGTCTTTCCTGCAATGGCCGATTCGTCGTTCTATCTATTTTTATCTGTTGCCTCGCCAGTTTATCTCGCCAATGCCTCCTGGAATTTTTCCTCTTATCATGTAATCAGACTCAAAATTTCTAAATGGATCCGGCACGACCTGCCGCGTCAAGACCTTCATATCTCTTTGCTTGAGATCCTAGAGGATTCTTGAAGGAGAATATTTTAATTAAAAATTTACAACAGAGACGGGTACTCATTACACCGATAATGGCAAGAATCAAGTTGTCGGATTGTTTCGCTGATGAGTAGTAACTGCAAATGAAAGAATAATTGCTTCTATCATTCGTGAGCTGGCATTTGCGACATGTTTAAATACAGGATGTTTTAAAATCATATATATGGTTAACTGGATATTATGTTACAAAATTTTATAAGAAAATTTTATATTATAAACTTTGTAATAAAACTCAAATTTCATAAAAGTAAAATCTAATTATGTGAAATGTCTAACTACAAATTATTTGTGCTTGATGACACGAAATATACTTTAGAAGTAGAAAATTTATAGATGTTGTATATGAATAAAAACACAGAAATAAATGTGTGAGAAAAAGACGCATGGTCCATTCGTCACATTGTCATTGTGAAGCATTAATATTTCATACAAATACCAAAGGCTATCATCTTCTCCATTGCTCCAATTATATTGTATTGAGACTAAACTGATTAGATTACAGTTAATATCTTTAAATTGTTGGCCATTATTTCAATTTCTTATTATTTAGTTTTCAAATTATTAATTAGTTGATTAAAACGTTACATTGAGACTTCAAGAGTACCACCAAATGTAGCATAAGAAAGGAAATATTAAAGCAATATTTTTTTGTGTAAAATAGTTGTATAAATTTTTCGACAAGAGTACATAGTCGGCGCCGTTTTTTTATTTTATTTATTTTTTTTTTTTTATTAGGACGTGCACAACATCGAGAGCAAACTGCTGCAAAACATCACTACTGAAAAATCGTTAAAATCCAAATCCTCGATATATTGTCCTCATTGCGCCAGGGGAAAAAAAAGAAGAAGCGACAGCAAAAACCCGAACGGTTTCGAGCCGCTCGTTTCTGTACGAATTTTTATCGTTATCAACATCGTTTTTTATCTTCGTTAGGTATATATTTTTCTTTTTCTCAGTCAGACCATCGTCGCGCGATAACGCACTTGCATGTCACGCAGGACGAATAGAAGGTCGTCAAGATGAAGCACGCAAAATCGTTCTTCTCCCTGGCGAATTCTCGTTTTTGCTTTTTCGCCGAATTATTAATGAAGCGCTCGAAAACAGGATAATAAAGTTACAAACTTGTATTGTTAATCACGCACGCTAACCTTGGTATATGTACGATTCTTCACTGCTGGTCTCAGTAATGAGTGTAATCAAGCGCACGATAATCAACTCACTTTTGTGTGCATTAAGTTGATGCACTAATAATATATACTTTCAATGTATATTAATGAGATAAGTTAAGTTGAGATATGCTGTTTCGTATAGGAACTTGATTTTTATAGTTTGATATGCAACAAAAATATATCTCTAGAAAAAATAGTGTTGGTTTCTTAATATTGAAAATTTGAACTTTTAAACATTAAATGTTACTTTTATTCGAGGTATTTTAACTTTGGCATGTTGCTCGTCGAAGAATTATAATAATACAATCTTCAGCTATCAGAAATATCATTGCCAAATGGTGAATAATTGCGAGTTTCAAATCCTAATTAGCACGGGGAATTTCAGTCGGGAGTATGAGTGCCGAAATAACGATCATACGATGACGAGCGAATAGACATATCGACGATAAACATGGGTCTAAGCGTCCTGAGATCGCATTTCAGAAAACGCTGATTTCAAGGCGAATCGATCGTGGAAGTATCTCTCCCCATAGGGATCTTTTTCCACTTACGTGACGAATTTTATTACTGGAATCTTGTTACTGGATAATAGTTATTGGTTAGACAAAAGCACCATTAAGAAGTATTCAAAGAAATCTTACATATGTTTTGAATATACTCCACCAATATTTTCACTAAAAAGAGTGGCCTCTGTAAAACTTCGAAAAAAATTTTTGTCAGTTTTATTTGATAGCGGTTTCTCGATAGACCATTTTATTTTTGTAATCAATAACTGCTTTTTTTGCCGTTTTTGAAATTTTAATGTTTAAAACTTTTTGGAAAAACATCAGAATTTTTCTACGTAAACAGGTAGCTGTAGGTACAGCAAATAAGAATATAAAATTTATTTTTTATTTCAGATTACTCTAGTCACTAGCTAACTTAAATTTTTTATAAATATTACTTTTAGAACTCAGTAACTTTAATATTTTTTTAATATTTTGGTATGTTATATAAAAATAATTAATATAAAATAAAAAATAAATATAAATTAAAACATGGAAATTCCATTATTTTAATTTTCAAATATAATTTAAAATTGACCTATTTTTTTATTTCAATTATATATTCATATATTTTTATGAAATATACCGATGATATATTTCATAAAGATATAATAAATAATGTCGCTTAAATCATGTCGCATAAATGAATAAAATCGCTTGGAAATCGGATCGTTTTTCATCAGATTTTATCAGCATTTCCTATGTTCCTGAAATTTTCTCGATTCTTGTTATCGCATTCGTGATTTCCTCAATTCTCATATTGCTCAAATTTAATTTCATTGTAACTTTCATTGCATGATATAACCGTATTGTAGTTTGTGAGTTTTGTGCCACTAGTACTTTCTAAAGGATAGTATTTATTTCGAACAAAATATCTCGAGTATCCTTCACTCCTTTTGCCCTCTCTCTGCCATGAGGCTTTTGGCTGCGCTTGAGAGATAATACTATCTTCAGAACTGATCACAGTATATACGTTTTCGATTCTTATACTCTATTAAAAGGAACGAAAAAAAGCGACGTTTCCTAGGCTTTATATAATTTGAAACTGATTTTTATAATTATTTGTTGATTTGAATTAAATATTTGACAAGGAGTTTGAAATTTTCAAATGGATGGACTATCTGAGAACTTTATTTATAAATAATTAAGAGATTTCTTGTTTAATGCAAATTTTTACATATTGTTTAATTCTATAAAACAAAAACGATGTAATAACATTTGTTTAAATATTAAACAACTTGACGAATCGGTGATAGAAATCGAGTAGAATCTGGTACCAATTTTTCTTCAAAGTGATTTGTTTAATAAATAATATTCTTTTCCTTACACTCTCTTTTTTTAAATTAAGCATTACATTTCGAAACGTGCGAGTGTTTTCAATCGTTACTAATAGATAATTTTGATCCTAAAAGTAATTTCTTAAAAATTGATGGTCTCAATATCCTCAAGGGAGTATTTTGAAAATCTCTCTTCTGGAAAGTTTCAACTTTCCAAAAAAAGAGAGAGTCATAACATAAACTATATTTGAGCGCCACATCGTGTAGGAAAAAAATTTCTGAATCTGAGGGCGCGCTTCTCTCGCGAGATAGCTCACGGCGTTTTCCTGTTTCGCCCTTTTCCTGGAGTGCATAAGCTTTTCGCGAGCTGCTGGCGAAGAGCGAAGCGCGCGCCACAGTCAGTAAATCGATGCGAGGGAGACGACGCGATCCTCACCCTCTGTTCCGCCTCTGCCACCACCACCGCTGCTACCACCCTCGCCACCTTCTCTCTCTTCGGTAATTTAAGCTCCGACTCGGTTCAGCTGAGTTCAGTTGCGCCACTTGGCCGTTGCGATTCGCGTGTCGTTGCAAACTAGAGGAAGCTCTCTCTCGTTCGCGCGCGACTTCGAGACTACCTTTTCTTTTTTCATCTAAATTTACAACTTGACTGTCACTTTTGCTTTTATTTATTTTTCTTTCTCTCTCAAACCTTCTTCTCTGGAGAAGTACGTGAGGTGTACACACGTATTAGGGAAGGAGAAGACAGAGAAGAGTGCTGTAAGCACTCGATGTTTCTTTTCGCGGAGATCTACGGTCCCCATAAGGTAAATAGATAAAGTAAACATATCGTATAATTGCATCGATTGATAGATTTCTAGATTCAATGAGCAATTAATAGTGATTTCTTTTAAATGAGGTCTTTTTAGCTAATGGTTTATTCTGATAATATTTGATGCCAGTATTTCATTTCGTTCACGAGCGCGGCCCGCGCTGAGAACGCGACCACGTTATTTTAGAGATATTCCGTATATCTTTATTATTTAGAACTTGATTATTTAATTTAAATTAAATATTGTTGGAAATCATGTAAATTTAGAGCGCTTGAAATTTATATTGCCATGTATTTATATTGCATTAAATGTTAAATTGCGTTATATTTTAATCATTGTAGTTTTATATAACATTATTAAATACACACACACACACACACACACACACACACACACACACACACACGCACACAAATTGAAATATATTTAAAAATGACAATATTTTACAAGAAATATGTACTGTAGCCATTAAATGTCCTTTTCGAATCACTTTTGCACTTTTTATATACGTATATTTTAAATATATTTTTTTTAAAATTATTTTTTTCAAAACCATTGGAATCATTTTCTCTTAAATTAGCTCTATTTTTTACTTTAAATAACCTATTAAATATATTAAACATGTATATACATATAAAATCGTATACGAGACAGTTACTGATGATGATTGTTAAGTTAAAACACAAAATTGATATAACAACAGAGTATAATCAAATTATCGGATAAAAGGCCGAAATTATCATCTTCATTAAGAATAGTGAAATTCACGACGATCATCAAATATAGCTGTCTCTTTTTTAGAACATCGATCTCGTTTCCCACGAGGAAAGAGCGCGAAACTTTCATATCGACGGTAAAATCGTCGGCACGCACACCAATAAACAGAAAATCAACGATGTTCTCTTAGCTCCTGATTGGAGCGTCGATTGCAATCACGTAGAAGGCAACGTGTTTAAAGTTCTCACTCATTGTACGTGCTTGCTCATACGCAAATGAATGAAGGTATTTATAGCATTTGTGATCGTATATCCTGATTGCAATTTGTTCTCAAGCACAATAAATTAATGTAATAGTGAGGAAAAATATAAAAGTACATGTAATGAATGGAGACGAGTATGAAAGAAAGAAATCTTTATTTGGATTTAATATACAAGAATCGTTTCCTGATGTACACATTATATTGATCAGTCACATTTGACATTAATACGTTCAAAATGCTGATTCCTTTGCCCACTATTATATCCAACCGTGATTAACGAGCGGCTCTGAATAATTACTGATGTAACAATCAGAATTAGAGCGACTCTCTAATTAAAATTGTAGCCATTGCGATATTAAACATCTCCTGCGCGCATATTAAATTATGATATTTAATATGGATAAAAGAGTTATGTTCTCTTCGATTGGAGAGACAGGAAAAAGGATAATAACACTATTGCAGTTTAATGTTGTTATTGCAATTACGATTACAACTGTAAGCATTGCCATCCGTTGTCATAGAACGTATATATATAT